TTTTTTCGAAATCATGCTTTGTAAGTCAGCCAAAGACCCAGAACATATTCTTAGAACATAAATGAAGAAATCTGTAAATGGATTGCATTTAATTTTAATTCTGTCACCAAAGGCACTGATTTGTTTATTAATTTTTTCTTTAAAAAAATGAGACTATCATGTTATTTCGATCATATTTCCGTTAATTTTGATTCTAAAGAGTTTTAAAATAGCTCATTTTAAAGGTTTTTCAAAGTACTTTAAAAAAGGTTCAAACAGTTTTTTTCCTAATATTTATGGTTTTGGCGTTATTTAACGTTAACCGGTTCCAATTTAGTTTTTAGCTATAACATATAATAATGTTTAAAAATCCATAAGTCGGTTTATATTGCAATTAAAGAAAAACAAAATAATGCCATTAGATTTGTTTTTTATTACCTTTCTTTTTGTTCATTACAACTTTTTCGTTAAATCCAATGGTTTCAGAGTTATTTGCAAAAAACTGTCCGAAAACAAGCACTTTTTCAGTAAAAAATCAACATTTTCAATGACGACTTACTCGGAAAGTATTGGATTATCCAAAAAACTTTACATAACATTTGTTACTTATAATTGACTCCTCTATCGATTCCTGTGGTTATTTTTGACGTAAAAATTTCCACCCCTAAGAAGGGGTAGGAACCACCCCCAGGGCAAAAGCACTATATAAGTTTTGTTCCTTGAGGCATTTTCCACATTCAGTCATAATGTCACGTCAATCGGTTCAGTTATAAAGAATTCGGAGGTAAAAACCCTGAGTAACTGGACTAAAATAATACTTGTTAATATTTAAGATGTAAAATAATATCTTATACATTCATGTATAGTTCACTACAGATTAAAAATACATTAAAAGCTAGGTTTATGACCGAATAATACGGTAGGTTCTCTCATTCACTCTCGATAAACCTTTGTGAGTCAGCGGTCAGGAACAGTCTGAAAATGGGCAATGATTTTTAAAAATTTTTAATCGCTTATTCGTATTCTCCTCATTTTTTTCCAATTTTCCCTTAAATTTAAGGACATTAGACATTATTACTGAATACTTCTATTTCAGAACAAGTAATAAAAAGCATGGGTTAAATTTTTTGCCACAACCTCCTCAACCTCAATTAACAATGCAATTCTGATAGCACATTATTTTAATCAACTTTCCAATATTATAACGGATAGAGTAGGTAATATTTTCATATTTTAAGACGGTTTTAACCACACCATGACTTCCTATTATAATTCTATAGATTTTACAGCTTCTTCGAGGATATTTGCATTCACTTGTCAATCTTGGAAAAGTTTCTCTTATATATTTGCACAAAGTCTCAAAACTTACAACGGAAATTAAAATTTGTTATTTCTGCATCAATGAAAACTAAGACACTGAAAGTAATCAGACTCTTTGTTTTCCTTAAAGTGAAAGAAAAATTGTTAGATTTGCTCGAGATTTTACCTAATAATTTTCAATAATTTTAATACAGATGTCCTTGGTTACAAGTAGGTGATGAGAATATGTTAATTCAATCAATTAGAATTATTTTGCTTCCTTAAGAAGTTTTCGACCCCTCAAAATATATTTATTTAATCTACAAATATGAGCTCTTAATTTTAATAGGAAGGTCCTCCGCTTTACAGTTTTCCATTTTTTCCTCAGTATTAGAAAAAAAAATCATATCTCTCTATCAACTGTTCGTTAAAAATATCTCTCCTCATATTCTTGTAGAAAATTGAACGCTTTACAAAAAAGGCCTCTTACAATTTTTTCGTAAACCTCACCGTTTAAAAGACATTAAAGGTTGAAGTTTGATTATTTTAAGACAAATTTTAATAGTTTTTGATTAATAATTCGGAAAATTTCAATTTAGTTTATGAGTTTCAGGGAAATTTATACAAATTTGAGTTTCTATGAACAGAGAAATGTTTAAACTATTTTTATAGTTTTTTTTTAGTCATAATCATGTTTGGTTACATCGAAAAAAAATTAGTGCATTATTTCTGACTGAGAGTCAATGATACATTAAATCTTGAAAAAATAACGTTTTTGTCACAAATTTATTATGAAAAGTATTAATCTTAAAGAAAAACAGTGTTCAATTTGTTATTAAAAAGTTTTTTTATTTATTTATCAAGTGAGCTATAAAATTTCAACATTTTGGTTTTGTGCTGATTTTATTTTTAATTTTTTTGTAATTTTAACCATTGAGTGTGATAGCGAAGTATTTTTTTGACTACATTAGGAGCTCCACTAGAAACCCAAATTCGTATAAATTTCCCTGAAACTCAAACTAAATTGAAATTTTCCGAATTATTAATCAAAAACTGTTAAAATTGGCGTGCATTGAAGTTTGACAATGAATATCTTTTAAAAGTTTTATTTAATCGACTAATCATAAGAGACCATTTTTGTAGAGCAGTTAATTTCTTACAACACTATGAATTGCGCATTTCATAATGACTTTTTTGTTAACGAGTTATAAAATTCATAAGCAAAACAGAAATTTGTCTTAAAATAATCAAACTTCAACCTTTAATATCTTTTAAACGGTGAGGTTTAAGAAAAAATTGTAAGAGACCTTTTTTGTAGAGCGTTCAATTTCCTACAAGAATATGAAGAGAGATATTTTTAACGAACAGTTGATAGAGAGATATGAATTTTTTTTCTAATACTGAGAAAAAAATGGAAAACTAACGAGCGTTCAAATAAAAACATTGTCGAAGTTGGCTCTGACACATTGGACGTAGGGAGTAGCTTATAGCGACCAACTTAACCTCATTTCTCAACGAGCTGTATAGCAGCTGTCAGTTTCAATAACGTTAATGACTATATAACTTTATTTTAAAGAATAATCGTGATAACAATAACAAACAATTAAAGGAGCTGCGGAAAGTGTCCCCCTCCTTGTTATAACAATAAATTAAAGCAGCTGCTGAAAGTGTCCCCCTCCTTGTTCCAAGCACTTTTCACACCTGTTCCTCAAAGAATTAAAGACATTTTCTAAGATGCTCGGGGTATTGTTAATTTCACGAATCTTGTCTATAAGTCGAGCCTGCAGATGGTTTAAATCAGGAATAGGCAGTTCAAAAATAGTGTTTTTAAGGTAAGGCCACAAAAAGAAATCACACGGCGTAATATCACATGACCTCGGTGGAAATTCATGTTCAGCATTGAGACTTATTAGTCGATTTTGGAAAACTTCCCTCAACATATT